AATGGGCAAGGTCGTAATGGGCAAGGTCTTAATGGGCAAGGTCATGGGTGGAACCTCAGGGCCCTAGCCTGGAGCCCTGGGGTTCAAGGCTGAGGCGGGAGCTCAGGGTCTAGGGTTTAAGGTTCACTGCTCAAAGTTTAGGTTTCAAGGCTTAGAGTTTAGGGTTCCGGGCTTAGGGTTTAGGGTTCAAGGCTTAGAGATTAGGGTTCAGGGCTTAGGGTTTAGGGTTCAAGGCTTTTAAGGCTTAGAGTTTAGGTTTCAAGGCTTAGGGTTTAGGGTTCAAGGCTTTCAAAGCTTAGAGTTTAGGGTTCAGGGCTTAGGGTTTATGGTGCAAGGAGTTTAGGGTTCAGGGTTCAAGGCTTAGAGTTTAGGGTTCGGGGCTTAGGGTTTATGGTGCAAGGAGTTAGAGTTTTGGGTTCAAGGCTGTTTAGTTTAGGGTGCAGGGTGTAGAGTTCAGGGTTCAGGGCTTAGGGTTCAGGGCTCAAGGCGTAGAGTTTAGGGTCCAAGGCTTAGAGTTTAGGGTTCAGGGCTTAGGGTTCAGGGTTCAAGGCGTAGAGTTTAGGGTCCAAGGCTTAGAGTTTAGGGTTCAGGGCTTAGGGTTTAGGTTCAGGGCTTGGAGTTTGGGGTTCCGGGTTTAGAGGTTAGGGTTCAGGGCTTAGAGTTTAGGGTGCAAGGCTTAGAGTTTAGGGTTCAGGGCTTAGAGTTTAGGGTTCAGGATTTAAAGTAAAAGGTATCTATATGTTTCTTAGTGATGTGGGACCCAATGGGCGGGTGGGTATATGACCGTTGTTTGATAACGCTGCTTCAGAAATGAATGCTTGGACTTGAGATGCTGAACCCTAAACCCTAAATCCTAAACCCTAAATCCTAAACCCTAGATCCTAGACCCTTAACCCTAAATCCTAAATCCTACACCCCTAAACCCCTAAACTAGGGATCCCCCCAACCTCACCTTCGAAGGCTTCCATCAACAAGCTGGGTTGAGGGCGGCCGCCTGCTGCAACAATCGATTTACGGCTACTCTCCGCCAAACTAACATGGAATCTAGGGTTAAGGGTTTAGGGCTTAGGGTTTAGGGATTAGGGTTTAGGGTTTGGGGATTAGGGTTTAGGGTTTAGGGTAAAGGGTTGAAGGTTGGGGTAAAGGGGCCCTGAAAGACTATTGACCTGGTGATATGGGATTCCATGTTAGTTTGGGTTGGGGGAGGGTAGGGATTGTGTGACTACCCCTCCCCAGAGAGCGCCTAGGACAAATGATTCTGTTGAGCTTCATACCAAAAAAGGGGGCTACTATACCGGGCATTAAGGGGGATACCAAGAGTTTAGACTATGGCTCATATAGCCCATGCAGCTTGAAGCCCCCTACAATGCTTTAGCCACTGTCTTGAGATGAGTACTTTTGGCAGACCTCTGCTCATGTGAGCCTAAACTCCTCTGTTAAAGGGGGGTTACGAAGGGGATTATATCGGGGATCATTCAAGGGCTTATTAAGGGCGATACTAGGAGTTTAGACTCTAGCACATGTGCTCTTGTGGGGGTCGTCCTGCCGTCCCTAATATGGTTAAAGCTTGCCCTCGGGGCACGGAGGCTGTTTGCTCGATGCCGTTTACAGTCCTAACCCCTAAACCCTAAAATCCAGTCCTAACCCCTAAACCCTAAAATCCAGTCCTTACCCCATAAACCCTAGAATCTAGCTTTTAGATGCCTAAGGCTTAGACATGTTTGAGCCTATCCCTGAACGCCGCGCTATTGAGCATGGCATTCGCAAGCCTCGGCTCCCACGTAAGGCACCTAGGCAGTTCGCTAGGCAGTGGACCCATATGGGGGGGGGTTTAGGATTTAATTAGCGGTTTTTCACAGGAAGGTGGCTCCTTATTAGCCTAAACAATACGTAAAGAGAGAGTGAGAGAGTGAGAGAGAGAGAGTGAGAGAGAGCGTGCTTCTTTTTTGGTCACTTCAAGATCTTGGCAAGCCAAGCGCCGAAATCAAACCTTGGTTGCTCCAATGAGCGATTGGGGTTCAAGTTCTAGGGTTTTGGGTTTAGGGCTTAGGCAAAAAGGATCACATCAGAAAATGTTGCAGTGGGTCCACCAAGAAACGAGGCCACAATGAGGGACACCAGAATCAGGCAAACAGGTACCGAGGAAGGCCTGCTAAAGGGGCGGGGGAGGGTAGGGTTTAGGGTTTAGGGCTTCCGGGTTCTAATCAGCACATAGCTTGTGTGGGTACTCTTACATGTACTTCGGGCTTGAGTAGAAACCATTTTGCAAGTTGGGCCTTTATGTTCTACCCTATACCCTATGAGCGCTGCTATAGTGAGGCTTCACTGTTGAGATTTCAGACATTAGGGATTTAGTAGTTTCAGAGGTTGGGCGGCTCCGGCTCTAGGACTTGAGGAGTTTGCTTGAGGAAGCTTCAGGGGTTCGGAGTTTAGCCGCGTAGGGTTTGGGGTCCAGGCTTGAGGTCTCAGAGTCAAGGGATTACAACACTCGCCCAAACTA